TGGTTTTCATGTAGTCACATTAAGTCATTCTGTTTGTGATTAAACAGTAGGACACTGCATGCACCGGGGAGGATTCATCTGAACTTTTATACAGTTTTTATTACTTCTCTTTATGGCTTGTTATGAATTATGACACTCTTGAACTGGGTCTTCAGAGTCAAAATTCAGACTAGTTACGCTTAACAAAATACATTTTTGGTAAATTTCGTATTTTGTGATTCATTTTCATTCAACCAATTGAAACTAACTAATGCATTGACCAACTGCATGGAATTCAGTTGGAGAATGACATTTTGCCATGAAACTTGGATCAGTAAGTATATAGCATATAACAAAGAGGAATGAGCTCCGTACACAGAAATTGGGTACTTCTATGTGAAACTTAAGAATAATTGGAAAATTTGTACCCATGTAGAATGGGGTTGGCTCTTTTTTTTTTTTGATAGAAAAATAAAATTCATTTAGATAAGGGAGAAAGTATTACCAAAAGAATTGCAGCTAGGATATCCAACTGGAACAAAAGGAAATTAAAATAAAAAAGAAAACAAAAAAGGCACCAAATAGAGAACAGATCATGCAACTATGGCCTCCCAGCTTCTATAAAAGACAGTGAGGGGGATGTCAGAGTATTTTTCATGAGCCTTGGCCCAATTGGAGGCTAGAAATGTCATCTTCTCCTAGAGAGGTTGTCCTGCAAAGAATGATCTTCGAATTGTTTTCTCTATTTGGTCTTCCAAAGGGAGTTGGCTCCTGCATTTGAACTGTTTTCATCTTTTCTTTAGAAGTCCACGATGGGAGACAAATCATTTGTCCTTTTTTCTTTCCCTCTCCTGCTCCATGATTTTGTAACACAAATCGAAAAAGTGCGAAATTTATTGTCTAACCATGGCAATAGATGCTAAGTGAAATCCTGTCCTTTCTTTCGTGAAATTTTGGGCAAAATCAAAGGTCATTCTCCTTGCTTTTCGACTAGAACTCATTTGGCTTTGTTGGAAAAAAATGCTTAAAGCATTAGATACTTTATAAGCAACGTGAAATTCATAGTTGCTAATTTGGATAACAAAATGTGTGGGTACTTTCAAGTCAATAAGCAAAAAGCAATGTGGATTTTCTGATTTAGGTTCTTATAAATCAATAAAATAGGTAAACCAGAATTGGGATATTTAGAAACAAAGCAACCAATCACCCGCTGACATGCCTTTCGAGAATTTTCCATATTGAAATATTAATGCTTACTCTCGGTTGGTATATCAATGATTTTTTTTTGGATTTTTGATCTGATTCTCAGGAGTACCTTAGTATGCGAAGGCGCTGTTTGCTCTTTGAGATGGCAGCAGCTAATAGAAAGAAACCAATTTGTGAATCCCAGGGTAGTTCTTCGACTTCACTGTCATCTTCCAGTGAAGTTTCTCTCACTGAAAAGCAGCTGGACCTGAGCAATAGAAGTATTTCCAAATCATCCATATATTCTGGCATCGGTTTGCACTTGAATGCTCTTGCAACGACCCCAACTGATGGAAAAGCTGTAAAAAGTCAGACTTTAGCTTCTGGTGTAAAAATAATAAGCATACCCGGTTGCCTTCCCTCTTCTGATTCTTCAAGAACTTCAAGCTCCAAGGAAAGAGATTTGGTCATCTCTGACGGTGAAGCTACAGAAAATGCTTCTAACACTCATATAGATGCTGGTGGTGAAGAATTTGAAAATGAAAATTCAAAGAGGAAAAGGTATGCATTAATCTAGCTCTTTACATCTAGTTACAAATACTTCAACCTCCTCTGTTATGTTTAACTTTTAATTCATCTATGGAGTCACTCTATTAATTCATCTATGGAGTTAGAGACCTACTAGATAATGTAATTGATCTGTAAATTTGTGTAAATACGTGGTACCCCCTTGGTGCTAATATTAATACATTTATATACGTTTTTTTTTTAAAGTTATGTTTAACTTTTAATATTGCAGGTGCCAGATACTTAATGGAGGAGGTGAGACCTGCAAGCGCTGTAACTGTAGGCGGTCAAAATGCTTGAAGCTGTAAGTCAAATAATTTAGTTGCTTTATTTGGTTGACGATTTTCCTTTTCTGACTTCTGTGGTCAACTAACAAAAGAAATTCTCAGTGCCTGCCATTTCTAAGAATAGGACTATTTTCTTTGCAAAAACTGTTTTTATTCTGAAAAAAATATCATACCCATGTTTTGGTGTGTTGTATGATGCAGCTATTGTGAATGCTTTGCTGCTGGTTTATACTGTATTGAGCCTTGTTCATGTCAAGATTGCTTTAACAAGCCCATTCATGAAGATACAGTTCTGGAGACTCGCAGACAAATCGAATCTCGCAATCCACTTGCATTTGCTCCAAAAGTGATAAGAAATACTGATGCGTCAGAAGTTGGGGTTAGACTTACCCTTAAGATTCTATTTTTTGGCAACTCGTCATCATACAATGAAAATGATGACAGTTTATCTCAGGTCCTCTTTTCAGGAGCATGATGTCATTTGAAGTATCAAATTCTGAATGATGTCTTGTTCTACTGAAATTAACTATGAGGACGGAATATGTTTGCTGTGTTCTATACTTGTTTTTGTCACTTCTACATGTAACAATTGGTTTTTTTCTTATGTAGGATGAGAACAAAACTCCGGCATCAGCCAGGCATAAGAGAGGATGTAACTGCAAAAAATCAAGTTGCCTAAAGAAATATTGTGAATGCTTTCAGGTAATTCCACTTTCCTCCTTTGCTATCTACACAGTTGTCTCACATAATATGAACATATTGTCTTTGCATAAAAGGGTGGTGTTGGATGCTCCATCAGCTGCAGATGTGAAGGATGTAGAAACACTTTCGGTCAGAAGGATGGTGAGTTCTTATATAGTGTTGAAAATCGAGTACAGGCCTTAATAAATAGCGGTTTAGGTTGTTGCTTTGCAGAGGCCTTACAGATCTTCTGTTTTTACTAGTATAATGAAAGTGGAAAAAAGTTAATCTTTTAGGTTATAGAAGAGGTTGCTAGTTGCCACTATTCAGATTGCTTAGGCAAGTGTCGTCTTTCTTTGTTGTGCCATAGGATCTGATCAACCTGAGGTCAATGAGGAAGATTCAGAAGAGCTTGAAAGGAGTATATCTGAACTAGATTCACATGATAGCTTAGTCAAGAAAAATGAAGAGTATCCGTACTCGGTACATTCTTCTGAAATTGTCAGGTATTCTACTTTCACCAATTCTAGGTTTAGGATATGTTTGGAATGAATGCAATACTTTTGTGGACTTCATTTGATTTGTTAAAGTCATTTTCAGTTAATATATAATTTAAACGGTTTTGTGAAAAATAGAACTAAAAACAAATGAATTAACTTCTTTTTTAGATCATATAATTAATTTTAAATAGACTTTGAGATGTATTATTTGAATTTCACTTGAAATTTATTTAATACATTACCTCGCTATAAGAACTAAGAGAAATTTCAAGTGAATTCTGCAACATTAATTCATTTATCCCTAAAATATTCTTGATCAAGAAATTGAAACCTCATGGTTTTCAAATAACCATGTCATATAAGACCATTTTTCTCCTGACTGGTTACTTTTAGGGGGAAGCGACCAGTTCATCCTGGCAGTGAAGTTGGCCCACCTTCCCGGCTCCGTGCTCGTTCTAGACTTGGAACACCAGATCTTTTTCAACAGCAACCGAAGTTTGAATCCAATCTTCAGGCAATTCCAGAAAATGGAACCTCAGATGGCAACCTTCATGCATCCTCTACTGCCGTGAACTATACTTCTCCAAACAGCAAGAGGGTCTCAGTTTCACCTCCTCATCATCAGGAGTTGAGGGCTTCAATTTCTCAGAATGGAACTAGGAAGCTGATTCTGAGATGTACCCCGCTGTTCTCCTCGCGCTTGCAACCATGAACATAGAACGATGAGCTGAAATTCATTACCTTCATAATGCACGAGCACCCATGTTTAATTGCGCAGGAAGTTAAGCCGGTTAGAGGTATCCTGGCGATGAGTAATAATCTGCTTCCGCTACTGGCGTCCAACTAAAGGTACCCCTCGACTCCCATAAAAGAATATGCTCTTATCTGTTAGCTTTCTGTGAGTTTTGATATTCAACTTGAAATGAGTAATTAGGTTGAAAGCACTTGTAATATAAGCAAGCATTGAGGATCAGGTTTACTGTATCTAAAGTTGATGCTCCAGTTTTTGTTTTGGCTTTGTGTCTTCTCTCCTACTATGCTTGAATGCTTGTAGGTGTTTTGTGAATCAAGTGAATTGACATTTTGTATATCTTTGTGTTTTGTGAATCAAGTGAGGATTCTTGAAGCTCAGTCTTCCTGGAAAATGATGATACACGTCTTACAGTAGGTTGATATAAGTAAAAAATATTATTTTCTATAAAAGATATACTACATTTTTATTAAATAATTTAATAAATTTCTTGCAATTCAAAACTTTTACACTATTAATAAAAAATATATATGATATAATATTTTCAGTGTAAGTCTGGTTTACT